ATATAAAGAAACATCAAATAATTACAAAAATGAAATACGAGTAAAACAAACCCAGTTTCTTTGGTAACCCAAACAGGTGGGGTTGTCAGGTGTTGGTGAATGCTGGTGTGTCACCCAAAATGTCTTGGTGTATCACCTTTGACATGTATGTCATAAGTTCGCCATCACTATGTTAGAAGAACATAGCTCCTAACTGGGCCAGTTATGGTCTGTTGATGGAGATCTGAACTTAAGGTGACCTTTAATCACCACCTCATTCTACACTGCAGGACTGCTCTATGGATGAAAATATTGGGGAGTTCTGGGATTTTTACAAGACTGGGACAAAACCACAATATGGAAATATAACCCTAACTTAATCTTGGGAAAGAGACAAAAATTTGGAAATCAAGCAAATTCTTTATGTCCTCCTTGCTGCTCAACCTCTGCAGAAGCCTAGGATCCCAGAGCTTTGGGTCCCAATAAGCTTTGTGGAAATCTCATTACATTCAATGAGACATTCTTTAGAGTAAACATGGCAGACTTATTATGAAGAAAATGCAATAGGAATATAGAAAGATGCCTTCTGTAGAGTCAGATAGTTGATCCATTTAGTTCAGCACTGCCTACATCATCCTTCCCTAACCTGGTGCCATTTAGATGTTTTGTTCTACAATTCCCATCATCTCCAGTATAACCATTTTTTCTGGAAAGTATGTTCTTAGGAAACAGAATGTACAGTGATTGGCAGTGGCTCTCCAGATATAGGAGTCAAATATAAGCTGTGATGACAACTTGATAAAATATATGTCATGATGTCACAACACAAACCCCAGCCTTTTGTACTTTTGTCTCGATATCTGATGCAAGTACATAAGTCATGCAGTTTGCATTGCAATATCACAATGCACATTTCAACTCTTGCCCCTGTATGCACACTTATATTTCCAAGGTAACTTTTTCCAAGACTGTCTGAAGACGTCAAAAATTGTTCCTGGTCTCTTCTGCTTGGAATGCATATCTTGTACCGTTAAACTTTCTCCTTAATTAATGAAATTATTAATTTAATGGCTATAAATCTTTGGCATGCTTTCTATGGAAGCCTTCCATAAAGTGGTACCTTTCAGATGTATCAAACTACATCCCCCATCATCCCCAGCTACACTGATCAGTAGTCAGCACTATCTTCTAAGTGGTGGAGTATACAGCTGGGGAACACCAGATGTGTGTTGTTTGATGTACTGGTTTGTGGATTTCAATTTTTTGTTGATGTTGTATGATTTTTAATTTGCCATATTATTTTTTGGGAGCATTATTCAATGTATACCATCTGGAGTTGCAACTATGCAAGGTGGGTGATTAAATAAATCTTCTTAAATAAATAATCAGGAATGTGGGGTCTGTAGTGCAAAACACCTGGAAGGACAAAGTTGCAAGTTCCTGATACACTCTCAGTATGAGTGGCCAACGGCAGAAAGTGCTAGCCCCTCATTTAGCCAATAGCATCAGCCAGGAGGCAACTCAGTAGGTAGATCCAAAAGCAAAATAAGTACTTAGAGTGTCAAAGTATTTTAAAATAGCTAGTTGTGGCCATTTGCCATTTTGAGAGGCCCTAGATTCAGATCACATCTCCTGTTTCCTTGAAACTACCTTGAAGCTTAGCTAACTGCACCTCTGGGAGCCATCTTAAGCTCATCTTCCAGCGACTTGTGATGGAGGGGAGTCTGTCTTCGCAGCAACCTCAGAAAGTGAAATATATTGATCGCGGGAGACAGGTTTACAGGCCGGAAAAGTCATTTCTCAAATATTATTTGCTGTACCAGTTTTTGCCCTGTGTCTCAGGGTTATGTTAGAGCAGTGTTTCTCAACCTTGGCAGCTTGAAGATGTGTGGACTTCAACTCCCAGAATTCCCTAGCCAGCAAGGCTGGCTGGGGAATT